CCCTGACTGATTTAAAAAAAAAAAAAAAAAGTATTGCTCCATATATATATATATATTTTTTTTTTTTCCTTTTAACTTCAGGCATTGTGTATCTGTATGAAATGGAAATGAGTTTTAGGTTTAGATGACCCTTACCTCCAGCATACTAGCTAATGAAGAATTTCAAATATTAACATGCAGTGTGTGTGCGAGTGGTGAGAGCGCGCGCGAGTGAGAGCTGCTCTTGGATCTTGAACTCAGGTTCTGGCACTGCCCCTTAGCTTTTTGGCTCAAGGCTAGGACTGCCTCTTGAGCCACGGGCCTTCCAACTTTTTGCTGGTTATTTGGAGATAAGAGCTTCAGAGACATGCCTGCTTGGGCCGGCTTTGAACCCTGATCCTCAGATCTCAACTTCCAACCATGGTGCCTGGCATGCTTAAAATAAGGCATACCTTTTCACTTAATACTTAATTATAACTTATCTGTAAAAACATACTGAACAGAGAATGGTCACCTGGTCTGTGAAGGTGGTGTTATACATCCATATATGAATTCCTTACTTTGGGGGTTGCTTACCTCAACCTTACTGCAGTCATTCAGCTCACTCTTTTTCATAAATCATTTTATTTATTTATATTTTGGCAGTCGTGGGACTTGAACTCTGGGCCTGGGCGCTTGTCCCTCAGCTCTTCAGCTCAAGGCGAGCGCTCTACCATTTGAGCTACAGCGCCACTTCTGGTTTTCTGGTGGTTTATTGGAGATAGGAGTCTCACAGTCTCTCCTGCCGGGGCTGGCTTTGAACCGCGATTCTCAGATCTCAGCCTCCTGAGTAGCTAGGATGACAGGCGTGAGCCACCAGCGCCCGGCTCATAAATCATTTTAGAAGTCAGAGATCCAACCCTGGTTTGGGAAAAACGACTGATGTTTAAAAAACTATTGTAAGCTGTGTGCCAGTGGCTCACTCCTAAAAGCCTACCTACTCAGGAGGCTGAGATCTGAGGATTGTGGTTCAAAGCCAGCCAAGGCAAGAAAGTCCACGAGACTCTTCAATAAACTACTCAGAAAAAGGCAGAAGTGGCACTGTAGCTTAAGTGGTAGAGCGCTAGCCTTGAACACAAAGAGGCTCAGGGACAGTGCCCAGGTTCTGAGTTCAAGTCAGAAAAAAAAAACCAAAACTTATCATTCTCTTTTCATGTTTACCAGCGGTAGTGTGGCAGAGAGGCTCTGTGAATATGAAGAAGGCAATCAGCGTGTAAAGTTCTGCCAGTGGATTCTGGAACATCCTGTTGGTCTTCCTTCTGGGGTACTACCGTGTGAAGAGTACCCGTGTGAGGACCTTGTCACTTACTTGTTTCCGAGTGGGCCCCTCAGCGCTCACACCACACACAGCCCCTGTGTGAATCTGAAGGCTGATACCCAGGAGGCATGCGGGAAACGCTGCTCTTCCTCCCTGGACTTGGAGAGCCGTGAACGCTCTCACTCGAGAGAGAAGCCCAGTGCAAATAAATCGTCTGACCAGGCCCATCCGGGTCTCTCTTCCGTCCCACGCCATGAGAGCACTGCCAAAGGAGGCAGCCCTCAGCGTGAGGCGCGGGGAGAAGCCTTCACGAGAACCAGCGCTCACACGGAAGAGACGCCATCTGTGTCTGAAGAACATGGGGAGGCCTCCGGGCTTGCCAAGTGTTTTCACAGCCGCGGAGGAAGTCCCCGCGATGGGCCTGCTCACCACGGGAAGCCGGGCGGAGAGAGTCAGGTTCAGAGTGGAGAGAAACGCTACGGCTGTCAGCAGTGTGGAAAATCCTTCAGTTACCGTTTTTACGTGAAAATCCACGAGAGAATTCACTCTGGAGAGAAACCCTATGGCTGCCAGCAGTGTGAGAAGGCCTTCACTAGTTCCAGTCATCTCCACAGACACGCGAGAACTCACACGGGAGAGAAGCCTTGCAAGTGCAAGCAGTGTGGGAAAGTCTTCAGTCGCATCTCTCACCTTAAACTACACGAAAGAGCCCACTCGAGAGCCCACTCCGGGGGGGAGCTTTGTGCGTGTGAGCAGTGCGGAAAGTCCTTTGCTTTCTCCAGCAACCTTCAGAGACAGCAGAGAACTGGCTCTGGGGAGAAGCACTACGTGTGTCCGCAGTGCGGCAAGGCCTTCAGTAAATCTCACCAGCTTCGAAGACACGAGCGGACTCACAACGGGGCGAAGCCCTACGTGTGTAAGCACTGTGGGAAAGCCTTCCGTTGTGGTTCGTACGTGAAAACCCACGAGAGGACCCACTCCCTCGAGAAGCCTTATCTCTGCAAGCAGTGTGGGAAGGCCTTCAAGTGTTCCAGTCACCTGCGGAGGCACAGACAGACGCACACCAGAGAGAAAGGTTGCGTATGTCGGCAGTGTGGGATGGCTTTTAGTCAAGTTTTTCGCATGAAAATCCATGAAAGAATTCATTCTAGAGAGACTCAGTATGTATGTAAGCAATGTGGAAAAACCTTCCTTTCGTCCTGTGCCATTAGGAGACATGAAAAGACTCACACCAACGAGAAGCCCTATCAGTGTGCACAGTGCGGGAAAGCCTTTACTTTTAGTTCTTACATCAAAGTACACGAACGAACTCACTCCCAGGAAAGACCTTACTTATGTCATCAGTGTGGGAAAGCCTTCCTGAGGTCTACTCACCTCCAGAGACATGAACTGACCCACAGTACCGTCAAGCCATTCGTATGTCAGCAGTGTGGGAAAGGCTTTTGCGAGCGCTTTTTCATGAAAGCCCATGAAAGAATTCATGGTGGGGAGAAGCTGGGATGTCAGCAGTGTGGAAAAGCCTTCCCCTTTGCAAGTGCTCTTGAGAGGCACCAAAGGACTCACACTGGAGAGAAGCCCTACGGGTGTGCGCAGTGCGGAAAAGCCTTCTCCCGATCCTACCACCTCAAAGCACACGAAAGAACCCACACCGGGGACAAACCCTACGCTTGTGGGAAGTGTGGGAAAGCCTTTGTTCACTCTTCTCTCCTTAGAAGACATGAAAAGACTCACGCCTGAGGAAGAAAACCCTGCGTGTCTAACCCCTGTGTGAAAGCCTTCATTCTCTCTGGTTGCCGCCAACCACAGGAAAGAACTTCTGCTGTCGGCGTGAGCCATGGTGATGGCATCACTCGGCCAGAGCCACCTGGAAACGTCAGAGAACACGGGCAACCCTGTGCCAGTCGGTGTTCAGAGAACACACCAGGAAAACACATCTTGGTTATCCGCTTTCATTTTACTAAGACAAAAGGACTCAAGCTGGAATGAACATACAATGTGTGAACTTGGTGGGTGCCAGTGGCTGAGATCTTTCTCAGTCGCTTTAAATTTCCACTCACGCTCTTCAAAGCTGATAATCGGCATGTACTCAGCATAGTTCATTTTGTTGTTGGTGGTGGTCATGGGACTTGAACTCTGCCCTGGGCACTATCCCTGAGATCTTCTGCTCAAAGCAGACGCTCTACCATGTGAGCCACAGCGCCACTATCCTGCCCGGGCTAGCTTTGAACCACAATCCTCAATTCTCAACCTCATGAATAGCTAGGATTATAGGCATGAGCCACCAGCACCTGGCCATAATACATTCTTGTGTCATGTCCAATTCCTTTTTCTGGGCCTTGATTTCTACATGCAGTGTCAGACTCTCCTCTTGGCCTTGCTTTAGGGAGCAAGGACAGCAGTGGTGGTGTCCGTGAGCCGCCTCCAGCCTCTGGCCCCAGCCTTGCCTGGTGTTCACCCAGGCTGCTACGCTTGCCTTTCATTTGATTCTGAGTCTTTTCCAGGTTCATTTTGAGGATTTCGTTTTCATCTTTGACTTTTACAAGTTTCTGATTTATGTCTTCAAATCTTTTCTTTTTTTGGAGGGGGGGTCCAGTCGTGGGGCCTGAACTCTGGGCCTGGGCGCTGTCCCTCAGCTCTTCAGTTCAAGGCTAGCGCTCTACCACTTGAGCCACAGCGCCACTTCTGGCTTTTTTCTTTTTGCTTATGTGGTGCTGAGGAATCCAACCCAGGGCCTCAGGATTGCAAAGCAAGCTCTCTACCACTGAGCCACCTTCCCAGCCCCTTTGAGCCTCTGCTCAAGGCTGGCTCACAGGCTTTCCTGCTGCTTGGGCTGGCTTTGAATCTCGATCCTCAGATCTCAGCCCCCTGAGTAGCTAGGATTACAGGTGTGAGCCACCAGCACTCAGCTTAGAGAGCTGAATTTTAATTCAACAAGGTTGGATTTCAGAGTCCTGAGCTCCTTCCCATATTTCTCAGGAGATAACCCAGTTTCCAGGCAGCTAACGTGCTTGTCATTTTCCATCTTTCTCTCCCTTGGACATTGCTTTTTCCAATGTCCATTTTGCTAGCAATGAGGTTCTCAAATGGATAGCGCTTTTCCCTCAACACCTAACCTTTGAACCTTTCTTCTAATATCTGCGGCTGGCTGGTTCTCTGAGGCCTCAGAATAAAAGCAGCAGGGGACTCACTGGGGAGCTGCAAACTCTCACCTTAGATAAATGAATTGGCTTCCTGGCCGCCACCCAGATCCCACTGACAGTCTGGAGATAACTGGTAAGCACTCCTTACCTTGATCGCTGCTGTAGTCCCAGCTTGGTGAGTCAGGGGAAAGACTTGCTCCAAATGGGCAGGGTCATCAATGGAAGACCCCTCTGGTCCCAGGACCGCCTTTGCAGCACGGGCTCCCTGTCCTCTGGGGCTTAAAGCCCTGGTACAAGTTGTTGAGTCACCCTAGGTGGGCTAGTGTGCAAAAAATACTGTTTCCAATAATGAGTTGAATCCCTGGGGTTTCTCAGTAAAGGACGGATTTTGCTGTTTGCAGCTGTACAAGTCCCTAGTTGTAAAGGGAACATGCACTAGACAGGGGGCTTGCCCAGTCTCCCCCAGGCGCCTGTCTAAAGGATAGGAAAGGGACTATGCCACCTTGTGCCAGCTCAGGAACTACTGCTGGTGTGGGGAGGACTTACCATTGGAGGTGCTAATGGCACCCACGTCACGGAGGTATGGACCACCCTGCCCAGTCCCGGCTCAGGAAGGACCTCCCCTCTAACTGCGATCCTCCTGTTGTCTCCCAGGTAGACAGGAGCATAGCCCTGCAGCCGGGCGCGTGCGTGTGTATTTGCTATAAACAAGATTTGTTGAACACATTTGACTCTTAACTGTATTCCTACAATCTGCAGACACAAATGTTAACTTATTTGTTTACGGAGGTGTCGTCGGCTATCTTGTAACCGGTGCTCTAATTCCTAAGTTCGCTGCGTTTTTCTATTCCATGGCTGAGGATTCTCATGCCATCCAATTAAAGAGAGTTCCTCAGGGAAATTTTACTTCTCTCGCCTATATTGTTGTTTCTTATTATAATAATCTGATGCTGATCATGCCAAAAGAAACACTGTGCTGCTGTGACTCTTACCAGAGTGCAGGAAGACCTAGCTTTTGTCAAATAGGACACCGGGATTCCATGATTCCATAAACTCTCTAAATGAGGGGCTGGGAAGGTAGCTCAGTGGTAGAGCGCTTGCCTTGCACGCATGAGGCCCTGGGTTCAATTCCTCAGCACCACATAAGCAAAAAGAAAAAAGCCTGAAGTGGCGCTGGTGATAGAGCCTTGAGCTGAAGATCTGACCCAGAGTTAAGCCACATGACCGAACCTCCCCCCCCAAAAAAAAAAATCTAAATGACAAGTTAGTTTAACAGCAAGAACATGCTGTATAGAATTTGACAGGACTGGTGTGTGTTGTATGGGGAGTGGTTGGGATTTAATGTCAGGATGACCCATCCCAACACTTAGATGTGCTAAGTAGGTGAATAAAATTCTAACTCTGCTCTCATGACGGTTCTTAGCTAGAGGGCTAGCAACACCAGGTGGTAGAGGCAAGGGTGAGGTAGTCCTGAGAATGACTGTCCTGTGATTCTAAGTGAATTGTGTTCTATTGATTTGAGAGACATGGGTCTTGCTCTGACCTAGCCACTGAACATTGCAGTTTTGGGCTATGTGGCATGTCTCTTCAGGTAACATGGCCTTGCTGTCAGGGTAGCCTGATTCGTCTTAATGTTTTTGTCCTTGGGCTTGAACTCAGGGCCTGAATGCTGTCCCTGAGCTTGCTTTGCTCAAGGCTAGTGCTCCAACATTTCAGCCACAGCTCTACTTTGAGCTTTTTTGTGTAGTTAACTAGAGATGAGGCTCACCAACTTTCTTGCCTAGGCTGGCTTCAGACTGCAATCCTCAGATCTTACCCTCCTGAGTAGCTAAGAAGACAGGCGTGAGCCACCAGCGCTGGCTACAGCTCCAGTAGTCTGAACCTTTTACTTTTTTTTTTGGAGGGGGGGTCAGTTGTGGGGCCTGAACTCTGGGCCTGGGCACTGTTTCATCAGCAATTCAGCTCAAGGCAAGCACTCTACCACTTGAGCCACAGCACCACTTCTGGCGTTTTCTGCTTATGTGGTGCTGAGGAATTGAAGCCAGGGCCTCATGCATGCAAGGCAAGTGCTCTACCACTGAGCCACCTTCCCGGCCCCTGCTTTTACCTTTCATACTTACTATGCAAACACTCAAGGATTTTCAGCAGTGTACGGACACAGGCCCAACCTTCTATTGGGTAATGATCTAATAAGCGCCTGGCAAGGTAAAAATGTAAGTGAAATATGTATTTTTACATGTAATCTAGCGAACATTCTTGTTTTTTTTGGGGGGGGGTCCAGTCATGGGGCCTGAACTCTAGGCCTGGGCGCTGTCCCTCAGCTCTTCAGCTCAAGGCTAGCACTCTACCACTTGAGCCACAGTGCCACTTCCGGCTTTTTTCTTTTTGCTTGTGTGGTGCTGAGGAATTGAACCCAGGGCCTCATGCATGCAAGGCAAGCGCTCTACCACTGAGCCACCTTCCCAGCCCCTAGCTAACATTCTTGAGCCAGGCTGCCCTCAACGTGACACAGTGAAGAAGCTGGGGATAAGCAGTTGTGGCGAAGGCTTTCTCCCAACTTTTCTCAGTTTATTGATTTTCAAACTAAGAAAATTAAAAACAAGCCAGATGACAATGACTCAAGCCTGTCATCCTTGCTATTCAGGAGGCTGATATTGGAGGATCCCAGTTGGAAGCCAGCCCTGGCAGGAAAGACCTTGACACTCCTATCTCCAATAAACCACCAGAATGTCAGGAAGTGGCACTGTGGCTCAAGTAGTTGAGCACTAGCCTTGAGCAAAAGAGCTCAGAGACAGGGCCCAGCCCCAGAGTTCAATACCCATGACAAAAAAAAAGGGGGGGGGAGAGGACATACTAGCAAGGGACTTAAGTTTACTCAATGAATGGAGAAATGGGGGGGGAGGGCATACCAGCCAGGGACTTCAGTTTACTCAATGAATGGAGAAATAGGAGGTATATGCCAGGCATGCTCTACAGAGGAATCATGAAGAAAAGTAGGTTTATTTGAGCTAGCTCATAGAAGGAGCTGACTACAGCCAAGGTCACAAGGCAAACCCCTATTCTGATGACAAAACCTTGGCAAACTCCCAAGCCAGGCTAAGTGCTGGTGACCAAGAATGACGGGGTCAGCCGCTGGGCTGAGGGGGGGCTCCCGTGGGAGCTCACTCTGCCCCACGGCCCCCTTCTCCCAGTGCTGATAACACTCCATGTTGCCCAGAGTAAACTCACACTGGGAGCCATTTTATACTGTAGACCAAAGTAAACTGTCAAACTCAAACCTTTGCTGCGGAACAGCATTATGAGTCTAAGCCTGGCCTCTACCGATTTTGGGGTGTATCTATGCGTTTGTACGCCAGTGCTAGCGCGTGAACTCAAGGCCTAGCTATTGTCTCCTTACCTTTGTTATTCAGGTGTTCTACCACATTAGCCATGGCTCTACTGGCTTTTTGGTGGTTTACTGGAGAAAAGAGTCTCAGGGGGGCTGGGAAGGTGGCTCAGTGGTAGAGCGCTTGCCTTGCATGCCTGAGGCCCTGGGTTCGGTTCCTCAGCACCACATAAGCAAAAAGAAAAAAGCCAGAAGTGGCGCTGTGGCTCAAGTGGTAGAGTGCTAGCCTTGAGCTGAAGAGCTGAGGGACAGCGCCCAGGCCCAGAGTTCAGGCCCCCAGGACCGGACCCAAAAAAAAAAAAAAAAGTCAGGGATTTTCCTGCTGGGCTGGCTTAAACTGGGAACCTCAGATCTCAACTTCCTGAGTAGCTAGGAAGACAGCCATGAACCACCAGTGACCAGCCTCAGTGAGATTCTTTTGTGGGTATTTTTTGTTTTGTTTTGGTCAGTGTGGGGCTTTAACTCGGCCTGGGCGCTGTCCCTCAGCTTTACCACTTGAGCCACAGCACCACGTCTGGCCTTTTCGGTTTATGGGACAGCGCCCAGGCCCAGAGTGGCAGGACAGTCCCCTGCCCATGACTTTTTTTTTTGGTCGGTTGTGGAACTTGAACTCAGCTTGGGCACTATCCAGCTCTTCAGCTCAAGGCAAGTGCTTCACCTTGAGCCGTTTCTGGTTTTCTAGTGGTTCACTGGAGATAAATCTGTCTGGGCTGGCCTTGAACCTCGATCCTCAGATCTCAACCTCTTGAGCAGCTAGGGTTACAGGTGTGAGCCACCGGTGCACAGCCTCTGTGAGACTTATCTCCAATGAACCACTCAGAAAACCAGATGTGGTGCTGTGGCTCAAGTGGTAGAGCGCTCACCTTGAGCTGAAGAGCTGAGGGCCACGCCCAGGCCCAGAGTTCAGGCCTCATGACCACAAACAAAACAAAACAACCAAGGCAGTAGGACAATGTCAGTTTCATGAGGTGATACGTGAAGTGTAAACTCAAGCACTACTGCCTCCATGCTTCTCTGAATTAAGCACCGCCGGATGAACTTTGTGGGACGTCCTCAGCCAGTTTCTGCGACAATGCCCTCATCCTGGCTCTCCATTCTTCTTTGCCCCCGCTGCTGCCAGGCGATGCCACTGGCATGCGATGGGAGCTAGGAGCCTGAGCTCCCACCTACGAGCCAGCGCCCAAGTGCACAGGCAGGGGGCTGGGAAGGTGGCTCAGTGGTAGAGCGCTTGCCTTGCACGCATGAGGCCTTGAGTTCGATTCCTCAGCACCACATAAGCAAAAAACAAAAACAAAAAAAACAAAACCAAGTGCACAGGCAGGAGGGACCTCTGCCTCATTATCTGCTCTTTGGTTGGTCAAGGGGCTTGAACTCAGGGCCTGGGGACTGTTCTTGAGCTCTATTGCTCAAGGTTATCAACACTCTCGCTTTGTCAGTCATGGGGCTTGACCTCGGCTTGCGCACTGTCAGCTCTTCAACTTAAGGCCAGTGCTCTACCACTTGAACCATAACATCACTTCCAGTTTTCTGGTAGTTAATGCAATAAGAGTCTCACGGACTTTCCTGCCTGAGCTGTCTCTGAACTGCAATCCTCAGATCTCAGCCTCCTGAGTAGCTGGGAGGACAGGCGTGAGCCACCAATGCCTGGCTCACACTCCCACTGGAGCCACTGCGCCACTTCTGGCTTTTTCTGCTTATGTGGTGCTGAGGAATCAAACCCAGCCTCATGCATGCAATGCAAGCACTCTACCATTGAGCCACCTTCCCAGCCCCTCCTGGACTTTCCTACCTGGACTGGCATTGAAATGCAATCCTCAGATCTCAACCTCTTGAATAGGATTATAGGCGTGAGCCACTGGCACCCAGCTTCCCGAAGATGTTTTCCCCCTCAGTCCTGAGGCTTGAACTCCAGGCCTGGGCACTGTCTCTGAGCTTCTTTTACTCAAGGCCAATGCTCTATCCTTAGCCAGTTGATTTTGTTTGTGCAAACACCACTTCTGGCTTTTTCTGTATGTGGCACTGAGGAACCAAACCCAGGGCTTGATGCATGCAAGGCAAGTTCTCTGCCACTAAGCCACATTCTTCTCAGCCATCCCTCATTTTCTATTCAAGGCTAGTGGCTCTAACACTTGGAGCCATAGCTCCACTTTGGTTTTTCTGGTGGTTAATAGGAGATTGTCCTACAGACTTTCCTACCTAGGCTGGCTGTGAATTGTAACTCAGATCTCGGCCTCCAGAGTAGCTAGGATTACAGCCATGAGCCACCAGCCAGCTTAAAATGTTTCTTCAATGCCTAAGGTTCCTGTCCACTGAGTTCTTACATGTACTTACTGTAATAAACAAAAGCTTTATCACACTGCTCACAAAAGATTTCTTCCCGGGCTGCGAAGGTGGCTCAGTGGTAGAGCGCTTGCCTTGCATGCCTGAGGCCCTGGGTTCGATTCCTCAGTACCACATAAGCAAAAAGAAAAAAGCCGGAAGTGGCGCTGTAGCTCAAGTAGTAGAGCGCTCGCCTTGAGCTGAAGAGCTGAGGGACAGCGCCCAGGCCCAGAGTTCAGGCCCCAGGACTGGACCCAAAAAAAAAAAATTTCTTCCCACCGTGACTTTGTAAATGTCTTTGAACATGAACCAACAGAAAGCCTTTTCATGCATATTGCTTTCTGCTATAAGATTTGTTATTTTACATTCGTGCAAAAAAGTAGAACCATTACTATTTTCGCACATTCCTTAAGCAGAGCTCTGCATTGTTTGTTCAGTTTTTTTTTCTTTTTTTGTCGGTCATGGAGCTCGAACTCTGGGCCTGGGCACTGTCCTTGGGCTCTTCAGCTTAAGGCAAGCACTCTACCAAACACTTGAGCCACAATGCCATTTCAAGTTTTCTAATGGTTTATTGGAGATAAGAGTCTCACGGACATTTCGGACTTTCTTGCCTGGGCTGGCTTTGAACCGTGATCCTCAGATCTTGGCTTCCTGAGTAGCTAGGATGACATGAGCCACTGGCGCTCAGCTGTTCATTCTTTTTTTTTGGGTCCGGTTATGGGGCCTGAACTCTGGGCCTGGGCGCTGTCCCTCAGCTCTTCAGCTCAAGGCTAGC